TCGCTAATTTCAAGGACATGGTAAAATATTCCTTATATTTTATATTTATTAATTAACAATATATCCTCTCTCTCTCTCTCTCTATATATATATATATATTTATTTATTACAACTAATATACACATTTTAAATTTTAGGACCAATTTAAATGTGCATATTGTAAGTGGACATTGAAATATGATCAATTTGCACAGCATTCTTGTTTTGCGGATACAAGCGTGGACTCACTAGTCATGGATAGTGAAAGAAACGTTTTTGTACCAGGTATATTGAATTTTACAATAATACTAATTTCCACAATACATTGTTAATAAATTGTACAGTCTATTTTACTAATAGAAATTATTGTAGAAATTGAAAATATGGAAGACACGTTTGATAAGAATAGGCTCGACGAGGATCTTATTACAGCTGTACAAAACAGACCTGCGTTATATGATTTTCGTCTACCATTAAAGCAAAGAGGAAAAAAAGAAAAAGATGATTTGTGGAATGAGGTCAGTATCTATTTAAAAGGTAAAATTGAAATATTATATAATTATGAAGTTATATAAATAACATATGTGTAATGTCAATATGAAGTTGAAGTTGAAATTTTTTAAACTTGGCCTTGTAATTGTAGTTATAAATTTTATATTGTAGGCTCGTACACACCATCTGAAGCTGAAAAGAGATGGAACTATTTAAAAGATTGCTACCGAAAAGCAAGAAATTTGTTTAAGAAACGACAAGTTATTCAGCAAAGAAGTGGCTCAGCTGGTACATCAAAATCAGAATCAATTATGCCGTCTTTTCGACATTACGATTCTATGATGTTTTTAAATGATATCTTAGAACATCGTCAGTAAGTACAATAATTGCTTAATTTATAATTACTAACTTTGATAGTTATTTAACACTTATAATATTTCCTTAATATTTATTTCAGAACTGTGACTTCTTTAAGAGAATCAACAGGTAACCAACAAGCCTCTACATCGACAAGAACGTTACCTCACATAAATTTGAATGACGTACAATCAAACATGGAGAACGACAGCATGGAATCTGAATCATCTGTATATTCACACTCAGTTCCATCAGTAAAATCAAAAAGTATAATTACTAATTATTATATTTACAAATTAAACTTTAATTATTGAGATATAAATTAATTAATGTATTATTTTGTTAACAGAAAGAAAAAGGTCTCTAAGTTTAGTTGAAGATGCAACTCTTCTAAATGCATTAACAGAAAATAAGGATCCAAGCCCCATTGATGGATTTGTACTACGTTTAGCTGAAGGTTTACGAAGACTTACATATAAACAAAGATCGAAGTTAGAAATAGAATTTTTGAAAAGACTATATGAAATTGAAGAAGCAGAAGAAGTTTAAAGAGAAAGGTTTATCTTTAAAAACTCATATTTTTACAGCTATATTTAAATTATAACGTTAAAAACAAGAAATACTATTATTTGTTTGCAATTTACATCGTAGTAAATTATTTTTTCTGCATACTACCAATTAATGTTATAATTTAAATATAAATATAGAATTATATATTTAGGATCTCAATGTGTTCCAAAGTTAGTCCTTTTTATAACTTTATGACATTTTTCGTTATTTTATTTACTATAAACAAGTATATTAAAAGTTATAAATCTTCTAATATTGAAAATATTTAAAAGTTAAAAAAATATATATGTTAAGTGTCTAACTTTATAAGAGAGATTTACAAAGAACTTTGTTTTAGAGAAAAAGTATTAAAATTGTATGTATATATTAATTCATATGGTACAAAAGAGTGTGATAAAAAAAGTCTGAAGATAGTATAATAATTCGAACCTAGTAGACTTATTGTTAGTTAGAATTAAGATTATAAAAGATTTATATATATAAAGAACTTTATGTTTTAGAGGCTTTCACAGGTATTTTCTTTACTATCGCTAGAAGGTTTTCGAGTTATTGCCGTGTGTTTCTTCATTCTTGATGCCAATCCCTCGCCCTGATGAAGTGAACAGCAGTGGTTCACGAAACGTTAGCATCAAAAATAAAGAAATACATGGCGATAACCCGAAAACCTTCTAGCGACTATAAAGAACTTTGTTTAAGAGATAAAAGCATTAAAACTATATATTGATTTATGTGATAAAAAGAGGATGTGACAAAAAAAGACTGAAGATAGTATAATTCTAAGATAAGATCATTTTAGTTTCTAAAAAAAGGAATAAAAGTCTATCCATACATGTATAAGATACTTATAGAGAATAAATAATAAAAGAATTAATGTTTTCGACATTTTATTTAAAAATCGTTTTTATAAGCCTTTGTCCATTGTTGTGTTATAGCTCCAGTTGTATAAAAGTATTGTGCAAATAAATCTCTGACAGTAGTTCCATTAAATGTATCATTTTCTACAATGTTTTCAAATAATGTTTGATTACTATTTGGATCTTGTTGAGAAGTTACCGAGTATGTTCTTTGTTCTATGGGAAGATTTAAATCTTTCAACATCAAGAAATTATGTAAGCAAACAGTTGCTTGAACAATTAGAATTGCATTATCAATACTTGTTGCAATTGGCCTTCGAAAGATTCTCCATTTCGATGTCAAAATACCGAAAGCACATTCAATAACTCTCCGAGCACGACTTAATCGGTAATTAAATACTTTTTTTTTAATATTTAAATTACAAGATCGAGAATATGGACGCAGCATATATGAAGTCAAAGCAAAAGCTTCATCAGCTACTATAACATAAGGTAATCTAGAATCTTTTACTGAAATTGATGTTTCTTTCGGTAACTTTAAATAATTATTTTCTAATTGATACTTAAGTTCACTATCGTGAAAGATTCCTCCGTCATTTCGTCTACCTTCTGCACCAATATCTACCATTGTAAAGCAACAATTGGCATCTGCAAGTGCCATGAGTACAATGCTGTGAGTATGTTTGTAATTGTAATATGTTGAACCGCTATGTGGTGGAGCCTGAAAAATTAAAATAATACAAATAAGAATATCGCAAAAAAGAAAAAATAACTATTAAAATACACATGCACTATACTTGAAGCATAATATGTTTTCCGTCAATGGCACCAATGCAGTTTGGAAAATTCCATTGTTCTTCAAACTCTTTTGCTTTTTGCATCCATACAATTTCTTTATTTTCAGAAAAAACTTTATTTTTTAAACAATTCCAAATAGCTTGACATGTTTCTGATACTATCTTTGATACTGTATTTAGTCCAACTCGAAATGCAAACGAAATTGAATGCATAGAATCACCTGATGCTAGGTATCGTAAACAAATTTCTAATCGTGTACACGCTAGTATTGAAGGTCTCACAACATCTTGTTTTGTAATACTTGGCTCAATTAACTTCAATAATTCATGAAATACATTTTTATTCATTCGTAAATATTCTAAATATTTATGAGAATCATTATGTCTCATTTCATTAATTAAATTATCACTGTCCCCTTGTAGATATCTATTTTCCTCACTAAATATTTGCCGAATCCAAATTCTTTTTTTATTAATCTTTCTTATTTTTCTTTGTAAATATTTATATAATAAAATGACTTTAATTAATTCTTTTCTTCGAATTTGTTTATGCCAACTTAGTTGTTGACTACTTTTCCACTGCTTTATTTTAGTTAATAGGTGTACCTTCATTATATCCAAATATGTTTTATATTTTACCATGTCCTTGAAATTAGCGACACAGTGAGATATGACGTCAAATTCTGTAACAAGCATTTATTTATACACATGTATTTTGCATCTTGACAGATAATTTGGGAAACGCGACAATTTAATAACCTTAAAACATACTTCGTTCGTATATATGTACACAGCACACATACATAGAAATAATAGATAAACTTACATTTATTCTTGTCTTCCACGCACGATTGGAAAATCGCTTCAATATCGGGCACAAATGTCTTAAATTCACGTTTAATTTCACACAATGTTGGATTTCTCAACAATATTTCACTCAATTCCGTTACGGTTGCGAAAGAATTGTTTTATCATGGGGAACCCGGGTGTGAAAAAGCGGAACGGAATCATTCTGATTGGTTAACCCCCATCCTGCTTCCTTTCCGTTACTGTTCCGTTCCGCTATTTCTTTCTCCATCGGGACGCACCCTTACGCGGAAAATCTGTGCCATGGGACGGCACCCTTAGGGTGCAGTCCCATGGAGCGTACCGCGCGTATCGCGGATTAGCGGATCGAAAATCTGATCAATTGCGGACCTTCCGCTGTTCTTGATTCGCTGCCGTTCCGCTGAAGTCATTATTTAGCGTATTAATCGAGCGGATTGAGGTTAACATAAAGAGGAAAAATTACAAGAAACTGCTATTTTTCTTTAATCTTTCTTGACATCAACAATTATGAATGAAGAAAATATAAGTCCTGTGAGTAGCATATAGCATTTTGAAATATTATTTTCGTAATATTTATAATATTTATTAATTATAATATTTTAAGGTTAGTTTAAAATTTGATGAAGCATATTTTTGTTTACTCTAAATATTTGTAATTTGTAATTCATAATATAAATACGGATATAAATATTGTATTATGAACTGCAAATTACAAATTGTTAT